AGTCTGGGGCAAGGGAGCTAATTTGACAACTGCAGCTTGAATCTGAAGCTGCTACATCTCCTGGCTCAGAACTCTCTTCCTTTCCCAAAAGACCAGAATAAAGATGTGCAGCTAAACTCCAGTTTATTAAAAACACTGACCTATCAGTAGCCACCTGTGACTAGCAGTGGCTGTCCTCCAAGCCCCTCTGTGGGCATTGTGTAACACAACCACCGCCTCGCAGCACCCCTGACACCCACGCACACGGACTCTGTGCTCTCTCCTGCTCCTCCCAGCATGTTTTGCACTTGCACTCAGCTACCTGAAGGACCGATCCTGGCACTGCCTGGTGTGTGCAGAGCACATGCAGGAGCAGGGTGCTGCATCCCTACGTGACCATAAAAGCTGTGTGTGTGGTGCTGATGTTGAAAAGTTGCATGCAGAGCAGGAGAGCTTGTCCTGCAGCTCCCCTGCTCCCTTTATGTGTCTTTCTCCACATTTCTGAAAAGGGTTTTTACAAGTGTGTTATCGCTCCAGTAAATCTGCAGGTGTTTGCTTTCAGGGTGTGAGCAGGTTGGCAGGGGAAGACAAAGCTTTCCTCAAGCCTTGACCTGAGACAAATAAAAACCTGGGGCAGGGAGCAGTGTTTCCCTGGGATGGATCCCTGGCTTGCTGTTGGGTGGACCTGAAACATTTTGCTGAATGTGAAGGGTGCAAACAAAGTGATCAGGAAGCCCCTGCCTCCCCTGAAGGCCTTCGGCCCCTCGGACTGGTGGTGATGATGGTGACGTGTGGATGTGAGCCGGAGGGCCCAAGGGAGCCTTTCAAGGAACATGGGCCATGCTCCTCATCCTCACCCCAATCTTGCTGCCCTGCCATGTGCTGCTGATGGCTCCTTGGGATGAAAGCAGCTCCTTGGGATGAAAGTGGCTCCGTCTGCCTCTCCCATTTCGTAGGGCACAGGAGTAACTCCTGACAGCCAGACCATCTTTGGAATGTCTCTGTCTTATCTCAGCCTGAGGAGATACAGCCGTAGGCTCTCCTTGCAGCAGGGGATTATTTTTACCTCTCTTGAGTCCCCTGGATCTCAAATAAAGCATCCAAACTATAAGAGGACAAAGTGTTGACTATTGTCTTGGGACGTCTCAATTTATAGCGATGCCTCCAGTCCTGAAGTGCAGGTCTGTGTGTGGTGTGGTCGCTGGTGCCCACAGATGTTTTTTATGAATGTCCATGGGACTAAAACTGTTTGCTCCTCAGGCCCCTCAGCTTTTCCAGGGGAGGCAGAGCCTGGAGGCACATATCAAGGTGTATAGCTACAGAGTTATTGAGGTGTATAGCTATAGAGATGCAGAGATACAGAGGTATGTATGTATATAAAGAGAGGGCTGGAGCACCTCTGCTGAGAGGACAGGCTGAGAGACTTGGGGTTGTTCAGCCTGCAGAGGAGAAGGCTCTGAGGAGACCTTGGGGCCTTCCAGTATGTGAAGGGGGTGTACAAGAAAGCTGGGGAGGGGCTTTTAACAAGGGCTTGTAGTGATAGGACGAGGGGTAATGGCTCCAAACTGGAAGAGGGGAGATTTAGATTAGACAGGAGGAAGAAGTTCTTCACTATGAGGGCACTGTGTGGTGAGACCCTGGCCCAGGTTTCCCAGGGAAGCTGTGGATGCTCCATCCCTGGAGGTGTTCAAGACCAGGTTGGATGGGGCTTGGAGCAGCCTGCTCTAGTGGGAGGTGTCCCTGCCTATCGTGGGGGGGTTGGAACGAGATGATCTTTAAGGTTCCTTCCAACCTAACCTACTCTATGAGTCTCTGATGTACTGTGCCTGTTCAAGGGCATTGTTCAAGCTTTGGTACCCACCAGCTCTGCTTTACCCTAGAGCTAGGCTAGGAACAGGTCCCCAGAGTAAAGCGTGGCTGGCTGTTACCCTGAGGGGGCTTCAAAGACTGGATGTCACAGCCCTCACATTTCTCCCTAGCTCTCTGTCATTCCCACTGCTCTCTCTCTTCAGTTTGAGTTCCCAGTGCCATTGCTGTCTGCTCAGGTGCTGGAGGCTCACAGGCAGAGCTCTGCCCTGCACACAGGAGCTCGAGCGCAGCCTCTCTGCGTGCCAGGGCAGGGATATCCCAGCTGGCAGGGCCCCTGGCTTTCCTCTGCAAGTTCAGGCAGGTCCACCGCCTCTCCTCAGCTCCGTTCCTACCTGCACCAGCACGTTCCTCTGCAGGAGTCAATGCCACGGTGGTGACAAGGGCAAACGTGACCGTGGAATGAGCGTGCGGCCAGCGACGTCCTTTCTGACCCTGTCACCGCAGCCCTTCAGCAGGCTGAAACACAGATAGTACATTAAGATGTCCAGATTCTCCCTGATGGAAGCTGCAGAAATACCACAGACAGAAGCTAAAAATCTAATTTTGCATCTCTAAACAGCTTATGTTGCTTTTTATGAGCATTTGAATCGAGCAGTGGGAATTGAAAGCAGCTGTTGCTCCGTCACTGCGCGGAAACGAGCCAAGCGGCAGCTGAAGTCAACCCCCTCGGAGCAAAACGCCTTCAATTCCTGCTCAGAGTCATGGAGCCAGGACACTGGGATAGAGAACAAATCACAGAAAAGTGTTTTCTGCTCCCAGGTGTTCTGCTGCTGGGAGGGCTGTTATCTGGCATGAATTATTCACCATGTCTGATAATGCTATAGTGATTTTTTTGCAGGTAGGGAGAGGAAGAGAGCCACCAGCTTGTGTACAGCCCCCACACAGCTTCTGACTGTGAATGTGCTGTCTGCCTGGAGAGGAACCATCCAGGGAGCCCCCAGGATGGGCTCCATCCCAGGCAGGACACTGCCTGCACCCCAGGGTCCAGCTGTCCCCTGCCAGGAGGGTGGAGGTGGCACCTGACCCAGAAATACCCATCACTTCATTTTCCTTCCCTATGGCTGATTCATCAGGATTCAACTTCCTGGAAACCAACCTTCAAAATCAGACTTTTAGAGCTGTCAATGACATAGGATAAAGAATGATTTTAATGTTCTCTCTGAAGTTCTTGGGTTTTTAAAGGGCCCTTGGCCTTTTCTGTCTGGGACAGGCAGCATGTTGATGAAGGAGAGGGGTCTGCTGGTCTCTCCTGTGACAGGGACAGTGGCAGGGCCAAGCAGGTCCCTCTTTGCCCCATGGGGCCGTTCAGCCTGGACATGGATGGAATGCTCAGGGGTAGCATGTTGTAGAGCTGGGCTACAGGTCCAAAAGAGGTTGGGTTTTAGGGCAAAGAGGATGTGAAGAACCTCCCAAGAATGGGGAATTTGTTTGATGCAACCTGTCTCTCATGCTCACTTTGCTCCAGGTTCAGTGACCTCCATCAGCATGATGTGGCCAGGCTGCAGCCCACCTCCTGGCCTCACACTGAGGGTGGGTGATGGACAAAGACCCTCACCAAATCTGAACTCCTCCCTCACATCTCGTGGTCATAAAACCAGCCTTATTCCCCTCCCTGTGGGAGTTCTCTGCTATCTCTGATGGCTGGTGGAGACCAAGGGGTCTCCTCCATCTGCTGCTTTAATGAACAGTCCAAAGCCAAAGCAGTGATACCATTTAAGGGAGGAAAGAATAAAATTTAATGAGCCAAATGTCACAGGAAAAACCTGAAAAGAATAACTTGAGGTTTAAAACCAAGCTGCAGATGTCTTTTTGTATACTGAGGCTTAGATGCACACGTGTGAAGGCCAACTCTTCATCATGGCTCACACAAAACATCTCTGCAGATCTGCAACGTCCAGGGACTAAGGGACACGGGTGGAAGAATCTCACTGTTTGTGGTGCTTGGGTGGGTTCAAACATCTCTGAGGCCCTGGAGAGACAGGGGAGACAAGCACAAGAGGGTTTAACACAGTGAATCTTTGAGACGAGAGTGTTCCTTCTCAGATGAACCCAAACCCTCAACAGCCATAACCCCACACCATCAATAAACCAGCATTATATGCAAATAGTTTTGTGTAGAATTCATCTCCCTGGCAGCCTTTGCCACCTAACCACGTTCAGCAGAGCTGATGAACAGGAACCAGAGAGAAATGGATGAAAAACGGGTTAAAAAGGACACTGAACATTCAAAGTTCAGACTCTGTCTGTCTCTGGCTTAACCTTCTGATGTTTAAAGAGATTTGCAGAGGGTGGGGAAAAGAGATTTTCAAGTGTCTAATTTGTGTACTTAGCAGTAGATTAAGGTTATTTTTTTTCTTTTTTTTTTTTTCCTGCTGCCTTTCACACAGCTGAGGAGAGGAGAAATGTTTAAGGAAAGGAAGTTAGATAATGAAGGTGTAAGAAACTGCCAGGGGAGGCTGGAGCCAGCTCGTAGTAATTTGGATTTTCTTTTAAATTAAATAGATTTCAGAGGGATAGTTCACCCTGAAAGAAACCTATTTCTGTTTTCCTCAAGCAGACATAAAGAAAGGCAAAAAGCCTTACCAAGCTTCAGTGGTACATTTTCCAGACTCTTTCTAATGCTAATGGGAAGGTTGATATTTCTTAATTCAGAAATTTCCTCACTAAGTATTTTCTTAGCATCAGGTCGTTCACTGCTGCAAGGTTTAAAATAGATATTTCCACTGGCTGCTGTTTGATGACCACCTGAGCTTCTGGTGGGCTAGAAAATAATAAACCACACCAACCTCTTTCTTTCTGAGCAGAGAACTGACACAATCAACCAGACCACGACTGACAGTCACAGGGCTGATGCTCTCCTGATAGATTTTAAGTGGCACAAGTTACAGATGAGGTTTGTTACCACAAACACAGCTTTTCAGGCTTTCAGAGCTGGGATTATCCCTGTGGCATTGGTCCACTGCAGGGTTTGGGGTTTGTTTCCTCTGCCCCTGGCTGTCATAGGCAGGATTTCCAGTTTCAGAGTAAACAGCAAGAGACCCTGATAAACTCACCTGAAGTTTCTGCTTTCAGCCAGACATGATGTGCTTGACAAAAGCTGAGGAGGGAATGAGAAACGAGAGCATGAGAGATGAGAGCAGGCTGTGAGCTGGGGCGGGGTGGGCAGAGAGCAGCAAGGGGCACCCCCAGCCCGGGACACCCCCAGCCCGGGGCACCCCAGGGACAAAGGGAACGAGCCCTGCCAGGACTGAGATTGCTCCTTCTGTGCCCACCTTTTGGCAGCCATCCCAAACCTGGTCAGTGTGACCCCAAAGCCCTCTTGGAGATGAGCTGATACTGCTATCCCAGTTTTCTGAGGCCAGGGGAGATGGGTACCCTCATTTCCTCCATGCTCTCCAATTTTAAGGGTTCCTAGATTTAACCACCTTCTACACCAGATTTTCACCCTCTTGGAGCCGTGAGCGATCTGGGTCTCCAAATGTTCCCAATTAGCCTCTGCTGGGAGAGATGCTGCCTTTGTTTATTTTTGGTAGCTTACAACAAAACAGAGCCAAAACTGGGGATAAACCAGTCCTGAAACCCTTGGAAACACGCTGTCTTCGTCTGCTTTTACTGGAAATCCCTGGCACAACCACCTTGTTCCCACCCCAGCTGACATGTCTTGGCTCTCCTCACGGGGGCTTCGGAAGGTGGTGCACACCTCCCTCTCAGTGATCACCAGTGTCCTCACAGAGGACACATTTTGCACTCTAAACCATGTCTGAGGTGGCCCTGATGGGAATCTCTTGGTCCTACCTTCGTAGTTAATACAGCCATTGGCATCTTCTTGCCCTGCCATGAGCTGCTCCACCTCGCTTTCAGTCATCTTCTCCCCTGGAAGAGGAGGATGGAGAGGTGAGGGGAAGGGTTATTAGCCCACCAGGACCCTCTTGGCTTTCCTGAAAGCCAAAGCCACCAGAAGAAGGAAAAGTGGATTGAAAAGGAGCTGTCCCCAGTACAGACTGGGGACGGTTGGTGGGATGTTGTGGCGAGAGGACCAAGATGCAATGGTTGTCTGGTAGCTGAGGATGTTATGGTCTCTCCACCTCCCCTGGATCACGCATGAAGCCGTGGCATTAGGTGGAAAAGGCCACACATTTGGGAGGTGTCCACTCCTACAGACATCTACGAGCGACACGATACGTGAGCCCAGCAAATGAACCTGAGCCATTTGCCCAAAAAGAGCTAAGGGGTGGGCCGGGTCCTGCTCCCCTCCCCAGCCCAGCCCGTACCCAGGGTGACCAGGACGTGGCGCAGCTCGGCGCCCATCACCATGCCATTGCCCTCCTTGTCGAAGACACGCAGCCCTTCCACAAAGTCCTCGAAGGTGCCCTGCTCCTTGTTGCGGGTGAAGTGCTGGAGGATGGGGAGGAAGGTCTCAAAATCCAGCGTCTTTGTGTTCATTTCTGGAAGGGGAGAAGCAGCTGGGGTCAGAGATTAACTTCACTGGGCTAAAGTCAGCCTCTGAGGACCTCCTACTTAACCTCTGGGGACCTCCTGCTTAACCTTCCTGGTCTCCTTTCCATCTGAGCACAGGGGAGAAACCCCACAGCGTGATGGGACTGTTCATATATTGTACTTGAGATGGGAAGAGGTGTATGAGGAGTAATGGATTCACATCTGGGGACTGCACACAGACTGCTGGTATCACCCCCAAAATTAGAACCAGCAGGTAGGTCCTCTGTGACCAGGGCAACGTGGCTGGGACTGGTTGGGTTACACCAGTCTGCATCAGCTCAGGATACAGTCTGCTAAGCACCAGTTGCCACCATCCCCAGCTGAGGACAGCCTGTCCTTACATCAGCCGTGCTGCAGGGAGGGGGAGTGAAGGAATTTTGCAGGAATGAAGCTTCTCTGAGTCATTTCCTCCCTAGTCCCTTCACCTTGCAGGGCTGCTCCTACAGGGGACATAATCCTTCCCTTGCTGCCGGGGAGCACGGGGAGCGCTCGTCCCACCCCGCTCCTGCTGCCCCAGGTTGCTGTTACCTTCTGGGCGGGGCTTGCCCAGCACCTTCAGGACGTCGGCGTTGGTGGGGTTGTGGCCGAGCGCCCGCAGCAGGTCCCCGCACTGCCCGTAGGCGATCTGCATGGCCCCCGCCGGCGTCCGGTCGAACAGGCTGAAGGCTTCCCTGAACTCTGCCAGGGAGAAGAGCTGGGATGGCCCTCGCCCCACGGAGCGAGTGCTGCCTGGTGGCTGGGGAGGGGGCTGGCACGGGGGTGCTGGGACCCTCAGTGCCCGTCGGGCAGCCCGGTGCCGGCTGGA